TTTTTTCAGGAATCAATGTGACAGATGAAAGGCGGATCATGCTGATGCAAATAGCGATTTCGACATGAATCTCTGGTTCTTTTACATCATCTCCGTGTGTGACACACAAAAGACGCAGGAAAGACCTGAAAGGACCGAACGATACGTATTCTAATATCGCCTTTGAAGTCGACCAATCCCCACTAAAATATTGATATAAAGGTGAGAGGAAGATTTCTATCTAAAACATTGGAAAACAAAGGCGAAATCATAAATAAATTACGATTTTTCCGTCACAAAGAGAATCAACGAGAGCACATGTATACGAACAATCCCTCTGATTAAATTCCCGGAGATTTCCCAAGTCCATAAACAAAAACGTAACGAAATAACGAAAAAACGCACAAAATGCAAATTGACTAACGGCATTAAGTCCCCACTTGAACGAATTAAAAATTCTTTCTGGATCGGCCGGTTGAAGCATTAAATTTCCCGCTCGACCAACGACACGGGGACTTCACACAAATCCAATTAAGAACATTCAAAACGTCACCGAATAACCAAAGCAAATATTACGGGGGGAGGGGAGGCAATAAAAATTCAAATTTTTTAATTTACATTTTAAATGCCTCCTTTTCATACATGGTAGACGCCCGACGGGCCGGAACTAGACAATCTCCACCACAAAATAGACAAAAAAAAAGATTTCTCTTCAACCTTACCTCTACCCTCCCCAATAATAAAAAACTGGAGTATTTTAAACAAGAAATCAACAAACATTGTTTCCAAAATATTAAAACATTGCCTTTTTTGTCTTAACCCTAGGATGTATAACATGGGTATTTTGTACACCTGATTGTTTAGTTTTAAATTTCTTTTTTATTTTTGCTGATATTTTTTATAATGTTTTTAACATAATAGTTGAAGTTATATTTCATAAGGATTGGAATTTAGAGAATAAAAAAAAACCTTGTAGTTGCACATTAACCGGGTGTTTAAACCTATTCAAACTGTGTGATTTTTAAGTCAATTTTAAAAGATATTTATAAATTTTTGTAAAATGCACAAACAGACCAACAAGCAACACACCAGTAAAAAACCAACAACTAAAAAAAGGCCCACAAGTACAAGTAGCAAACCTATTTGTAAAAAAACACTCTGTATAGATATAAAAATAAAAAATGTTAATATAGCGTTTGTTTAAATAAATAATCATTATTTTAACAATAATACAATTTAATAATTCAAATATCAGTGGTCAAAATAACGTCAAAATGCTAGGGTATTTTTCACCCATGTTATGTAAATCTGTTGGTTGGAACAGTCATGCATCCTAGGGTTAAAGATCTCCATTAACTTTTGTAGAAGATTTCGGAATGACACAGAAAACATCAAAGATCAAAATAAAAATAAGAATAATAATAAGAAAATTTTTAACTTCATTTCTAACATTTAAAAAATGCATATTTATTAATTTATATAATATTTATTATTTTAATGATCTTTTATGAACACAGAAGAGACTAATCTCAATTTTTGACAAGATACCAATATTTATAAAAACATTGAAAACATTCCTTCATTTGAAAAATTGTTTTTAAGATGTTTTCTGTAGCAGATTTTAATGTCAGAGAAAACATAAAGACCTAAAAAATACGCAAGAATCAATAACTTTTCTTTTGATTACAAGTCATAACTCATAACAAACAAAATATACAGGGTGCGCCAGAACTCGCGCCCCAGAGAAAATTTTCAAGTAAGGTAAGATACCAGGAACATGAAAAAAATGTTTAAAAAATTTTATCTGTCAAAAAATTTTGACATTTACTTTTTGACATTTGACATTTTTTTATATCTATTTAATGATACTGATGATCTTGTATATGTTTTTTTACAATTATTTAGTAAAGGGACAAAAATTTTGCCAATAAAAGCCTTATATGGCATTTTTCTCTGGGGCGCGAGTTGTGGCGCACCTGTATACATATGAGATTCATCTTTTTTAAGGATCTTTTATAAATAGCTTTTAATTTTTATACGAAAAAAACTCCAAACAGAAAAGACTAAACTAAATTTTTTGAAAAAGATATGAAAATGTCAGATTAACCTTGTGTTTTAACACTTGATAAAATACACAAAAACATTATATTGTTTTGTCTGTAAAGGATTAAGAGAAAAACAGTCTTTTTTGAATAAGATATGTAAGACAACATGTGAAACATAAAAATGTATATTCCTGTTTTTAAGATATTATCTTCTGTAAAAAATTACTTTAATAAAAAATAAAACGAGATCATAAATAAAATAAAACGTGATTGCAAGAACTTTGATGCAAGATAAAATAAAACAAGGTCATCAAAAAATGACATCTTTAAGATGATTTTAAAAAGTTATAAAATTATTTTTAAACGCCTGATATTTTCTTATTTTCTTAACAGAGACAAATAGTCTTCATTTATTGTAGAAAATGTAAAAAAGTTGAGTTTTTTTCTATTAAAAAATGCGTCATCTTTTTTTGAAAGATTTCAGTTTAAAAACTACACCTTCAATGAGCGTCAAAATTATGGAAAAATCTAATTAAAACCGAAAATATAATGTTTTGACAAAAATACTCCAACAGGTCAATTTTCTTTTAAAAAAATACACAAATCTCAACTTAAAATTTTACATTTTTGGTTTGTTCATATTAAAACTTACGTTTCACTTTCTAAATGACTTTTTTTTCCGAAAACTTTATTATGTAATCAATATTTAATATTTTGGTGTTGTCATTTCGAAAATATAAATCTAAATCTAATAAACGGAATAAGAGACCATAAGACATAAGCATAAGTATAAAAGCATGAGAGCTTTTATGTTGTAAAATCAAATATTTTAATTTGGGCTAAATACTTAATTCTTTTTCGAAATCTAAAATTTTAAATTTGGATCAAATGACGTTTTTTACACTTGTAATAGTCTCATTAGAGGCTCATAAAAAGGCACACAACCAATTTGACAATAAAAACACTCAAAAAATCGTAAATACTCTTTATTGTTGCTTTACTTTTAGAAATAAATACAATACTTACAAACAAAACACTACTACAGACTAGCCTAAAATAAATAAATAAATCTCGCAACAATTATACAATAAAAAATTACAGAACAGCTTTACTTACATAAGTAAAAAAAATATCTATAAGTAAACAAAAAAGGTAAATTAAATGAAATATAAAGAAAAGGTAAGTGAGACAACATCAAATAAAAATAATAAGATAAATAAAAAAATCTTTATCCGTAATCGTCACAAAACTGACCCTTTTATGACTAAATGACGCAAGTAAAAGTTTTACCTTTCATCAAGCATGAAGTAAAAACTCTGTTAAGCGTTTTTACTTTTCCCATGATGTTTACCAATGTTGTCTCTTTCTTATCTCTTTCACTGCTTCAGTGATTTCTAGAGAAGTACATTGTAGACCATCAGCATGCGACATTTTACACTACTAACTGCACTAGTCATAAACTAGTTAAATCAATAAACACTTTCACAAATCTTAACACAAATTTTGTTCATTTACTTGCTAATAATGGCGTTGCTCTTTACTCACCATTTGAATACGTTTGCAGGTAAAATAGTATATGTTATTTGGAGTAAATGGTGAAGCTGTGCATTCAGCTGACTCCTAACAACATAATATACTATTTTTACAGAAATCTAAAAAAGTAACAAAATCGGAAGACGAGAATTATTATTTTTGTTTTTAACCTCATCTCATATATTAAAGAAATAGAAAATCACTAAAGAAATCTTCTTTAAAAGCTCCTCTATAGAAGATTTAATTTATTTCTAAGAAAATTAATCTAATAATAAGCAGATCGTTGTCTGTAAATGTTGTCTAACTTCTGATGTCTTCTAGAAATATTTCTTTAGATTAGAAAACAAAATATAAACTTTTAGAAGAAACTACAAGATTTTTCAAGGTTATTGCATAGTTGTCTATAAAGTTAAGATCTTTCAAAATATTATCTTTCGTAGAGGATTTAGGTATGAGACAGGATCTAATATAAGAAATAATAATCTTTACTTTTTGTGCAAGAAAGAAAAATGTGATTCCCGAACAAACTGATAGCTTTGGGGATTCTCGTTTTCGCTATAAATAAACGGAACTCACATAACGTGTGCAACAAAGGATTCCCCTCTTGTATGCCACAATGGGCCCGATACGACAATGTAAACACACAGGGGCAGCCCCCTTCAACCCCTAGTGTGAAAAGCCGGCTGCCACGAAACTCTCCCGATTTGAGTACAATTTACGTCATGACAGTGCTTGCCACCAGCTGGGGGCGGCCCACGAGGAGTCTCCAGACTCGCTACTATCGATTTGTGTTTGAAAAAATAGCAAAACATGCGTTTGAACTCGAAACTCGCTATTTGTTTACAAATAAATTGTTTACTTACCCGATCATTCTCAGCCGGAAAACGGGGGTTAGTGTAGTCGGGAAGGGCAGACAAACACAATGCGGTGGCAACGGGGCTTCAGAGCACTGCTACAGCGTGGTTAAACGGCATACAGTTTTAAATAAATAATAAACACGATGTGTTAACAAGTGGTTTGTTAAGATGGCGAAACGTCAAGCAGGGGAAAATTAGCGACAAGAAAACGAACAATACGGTACTAACACAACACAATATGCACTTTATAGTTATAAAAATGTATAAAAATACTTTTCCAATACTGATAAGAGGCTTGTTGGTCCGATAACAGGTTTAAATTACATTTGGTCCGCTGGAAAAATCGTCTGTCAGTTTCGCGTGCTGGAAGGGTGTGCGTGACGGCCGGCAAATCAACACTCTGACTTATCGGCAACGAAAATCAGCCCCCAAACCGCCCCCGCGAACCAACACATGACTCAATCAACAACAAAACGCTAATTTGTTCAGCGCTAATCGCCGATCAAGAACGCAAAACACGGATTTTTTATTTAAATCGACAATTAGCACGGACGCAAACCAAAAAAACAGGACAATTAAACACAAAAACGTTCAAAGTTTTTTTATTATTTAACGATAAATACAAAACCACAATGCGGGCAAAGACTTGACTACTGGGTGCTTGTTCATGGTTCAGTCGCCGTACCTCCACCGCCACCACGCCACAGTCATCCTGTCCCAAATGTTTTCAAAGCTGAAAAAGTTAACTAAACTTAATCGGGGTTGCCAGACCTGGGGAATATTTCCTAGATCTGGGGAATTTCATTATGTTTGAGGGAAAAGTAGAAAAAAAATTCTTGCTTAATTTAGTTTTGAAAATATTGTTTAGAATTAAAAAAAAAATATTTTTTAAAGATGTTTTACTTTTTGTACTCTAACAAAAAAATCGGTATTTCCCCGGTATAAATTATTTGCCCGAGGTTATATAAGTTAAAACAGTGTTTTTCTAGTTATTATTTTTATAACAATAAATATACAGGGTGATATTCAAAAAACGGCAGACACTGTAGAATTTTTATTTATGGCCCGATTTCAAAAATTAAAAAACTAAATTAAATGGCTTTTAATATAAAATAACCTGACAATTTTATATTTCTTCTAAGTCTTATAGTATATTTTGGGCTATATTCAACTTTC